TATGTGATTGTAAGTCTAAATGTAAGTTTCGACTTAGGGTTCCAAAAGTTGTCTAAACTATTTGGTAAAATGATCATTCGGAATCCTAAGAATGAAGAACTAGCATAATTGAATGTTGAAATGCATGATGAGACTTCGTTAATGTTGAAAAATAAGGCCAAATATGTATGATCAGAAGTAAAGAATGGCTGAAACCTGGCAAAGATGGCATCCACGATACCCCGTCTACGGAACGTAGATCCATCTACTGACCATAGATGAGGTTCGTGACTGGATGCACATGAAAAATTTCACCAAGTATGAAACCACGAATGTGGACTACGGTCCGTAGATCAATCTACGGACCGTTCTGCACATCCGTGGTTTCCATATGCGACCTATATTGTTGGCCCCCTGATCCACGGAAGAGATCCACGGACCGTATATCAGTCTACGGACCGTATATCAGTCTACGGACCGTAGGTCTCCTCCGTGGATGACCACTGTAGCCTCTGTCTGAAATTTTCTTGGGACTTTGTCACTATTCGTTTATAGTTCTAAAAGTTTTTTTGTTTGTTTATGGTTGGTTTTGGTACTAATATTGCGTCCACAGGTACAATGGCACCCAAGAAGCTAATCACCTACTCAAAACAGGGAAGGTCAAAATCTGTTGCTTCTAGCTTCAGGTTAATCGATGAGGACACGGACACAGAAAAGGATCCAGCATACGTTCCTCCCAACACACGGACTTCTCCCACTGCACCCCGTGTCACCAGAGGCACCCCCCAGAAGGTGCTTCCCGACGTAGTTACTATCTCCCAGTCTGATGAGGAGCACACACTGATCGGATCACCAACTGGGGCTGCTTCAAGTTCAGAGGAGGGGTCTATGTCTGGATCCGAGTTTGCCTAGGCTTTAGGCTCTGAGTCCAGCAATGCTTCGGGCCATGCCTCAAGGTCCGAATCTGCCCAGGTTTAAGTGTCCGAATCTGCCCACGCTGCAGGGTCCGGTGACAATGAGCAGGCAGCCTCGTCTGATGAAGCCACTAGCTAGGAGCCAGTACCTGCTCCACGGAATGATGATCCTATTCTAGTCACCGGCGAGCTAAATAGATGGTGCGTAGAGGGCCAATGGCAAATTTATTGGGATGCCAAGATGATAAATGACAAACAAAAAATGGCCCGACTTATTACAGAGGAGCAAAGAGTCCTCACGAGGAGCTTACACACTATCCCGGACATCCACCGGCTGTTTAACTTTCAGAAGTGTGACTGGATGGCTCGAGACCCAGGGACGTATAGCGAGGAGATTGTGCGAGAATTCTACGTCTCCTATGCTGCCACTCTCCGAGGTTTAATTTCCAAGCGGTTAAAGCCCTTAGCCCAAGATCCTCTCACCTCCACTATGGTCCGAGGTTGTCCGGTGGACATATCACCTGCCACCATCAGCCGTTTTCTCTATGGTCCTACCACAGGTCAGAGAGGTTGTTATACTATGGTTGGCTAGGTACATTATTGCAGATGGCGAGCGTGCGGAATGGGTCGCCGCTCCACGGTTGGGCATCCGGAAGGCCACATTAAATTTTGTGGCCAAATTCTTCTG